AAAATTGTCGAAAAAAAAATTTAACGAATAATTACAAGGAGATGTTGGTGCGGATGTTTACCAAAAACTAATCAGTATCATTCCCAATCAATATCTTTTGAACGGTTTTTGAATTATCAAAATTGTTTCAGAATTGTGAGCTCAAATATGTCGATTCTAAAAATCAAAGTCTAATTGAAATAGAAATTCGCCTGAGCAGCTTGGTGTAATCATAGGTATATCAAAAAGTTCAAAAATCGGCCCAAATACACACTTTTTTTAAATTGTTCTCATTTGATTCTGAATGACATGAAACTTGAAGAAAACATAAAACTAGAAAAACAGATTTTCTGGCGAAAACAAACTTTTTCTTAGGGAAATTAATACAAATCTGATAACAAGCTGACCAAGATTAGCATTTAATCTGGATGGTAATCTACATTAGTTAATATTCAATTTAAAACTAAGCTAAATAAACTTAAAAAAATATAAAATGTAACAATTGCTTTGACTATCAATAAATGCATATTATGTGATGTGTACTGTATATTTCATACTATTTACATATACATATACATTATATTATATGCAAAGATACTTTAACTTGTTTCCAAATATTGAAATTGAGTTAACAAATATGTTCATTTATTAATTTTCTTCAAACTTCCCACCATGAAGTGCCATGGGCTCTTTTAATTTACTGGATTGAGTAAATCTCTTATTGCATATTTCACATTTATAAGGATTTTCTCTGGGACAACACAGCGTGTGACGTTTCAGACTACTTGATAGTGTGAATGTCTTATTGCATACATTGCATTCATGGTGTCTGAGTTTGACTGTGTTTGAGCATGTGACTTTTCAAATTACCTAATCGTGTAAATGTCTTATTGCATATACTGCATACATGGTTACGCTCACCATTGTGAATGAGCATGTGATTTTTCAGACTACTTTTTTTTGTGAATTTCTTATCGCATGTACTGCATTCATGGGGGCGCTCACCACTGTGAATGAGCATGTGACTTTTCAGATAACTTATTTGTGTAAATGTCTTATTGCATACATTGCATTCATGGTGTCGTATGTCACTGTGTTTGACCATGTGACGTTTCAGATCACTTTTCTGTGTGAATTTCTTATTGCATACATTGCATTCATGGTGACGCTCACCACTGTGAAATAGCATGTGACGTTTCAGATGACCTAATTCTGTGTATGTCTTTTTGCATATACTGCATACATTGTTACGCTCACCATTGTGAATGAGCATGTGACTTTTCAGATTACATTTTTTTGTGAATTTCTTATCGCATATACTGCATTCATGGGGGCGCTCACCACTGTGAATGAGCATGTGACTTTTCAAATTACATAATTGTGTGAATGTCCTCTTGCATATACTGCATTCATGGTGACGCTCACCACTGTGAATGAGCATGTGCTTTTTCAAAGTAACCAAATCTTTGAAAGGCTTTTTGCAAATTTTGCATGGAAAAGAAAATTCTTCAGAGTGTGTATTCATATGTGATTTCAACCCTCTTGATAGTTTGAAAGTCTTATGACAGATTTCGCATTCATATGGGCGTTCTTTACTATTACTAGACATGTGATCGACCACATGCTCTTTTAATTGATCTGATTCGGCAAATGATCGATTACAAATGTCACATTTATAAGCTGATGTCTCAAATAATTCCTGTTTAATTTCTTCTTCTTTAGTCACCTCGGAATTCATGAATTTTTCTGAACACGTTTTATAATCCTCAGTACATGATTCAGATTTAACGATATCATCGAAAACATCAAACTCATCCTCAACTTCGGGTTTAATATCTTCTACCGAATATTCTGGTGGTTCGCTTTTAATTGCTTGATTATTCATAGATATTATTAATTCTTCTGACATTTTTAAATACTTTCACTGCATATGCAGTGATCTCACTAAATATTTACAAAAGTAGTCGTGGGCTTAATAATAATTTAGAATAATCAACTTTTAATCTTGTTCAAAAATAAATGATTTCAACTGAATTTAATATTTATTATTTGACATTTAGAGCAGGGCCTATTGTCTCAAAACAAAATCCGCGTTCACAAGGTTTAGTTAGGGGTCCAACAGTCGCAAATTTAGCGCTAGTAAGCCGATGAAAAAAATATTGTCAAATGCATATGCATACTCTTCTTTTATCTATGGTCAAATGGTTTATCATTATTTTATGTTCGTTACTAAGAATCGGCTGTGTAATTTTTGTATCAGTTGACAAATTGTGATTCATCTGTTCGTTTGCATTTGAACGTTTGTTAATAAAGATTTTATTAAGAATTGCATTTAAATTCATATCCCTTAGACAAAATGAAAAGCACAGCTTCAATCTCAGATAAACTAGTGGGGCGCATGGCATCGTACTTTAAGGCAAATTGCTGGAACTTCCCGTACCGTAACTAAATTTTCGAGGAATATTAAATGTTTTCGAACAATATCGTTAAATATTTATAAGAATTATATAAACTGAATTGAAATTATTTGTTTGAAGTATATTAGAACTTTAGTCAGAATTAAGAATAAAATCTGAATTATTTTAGATATACAAAAAATTAAAAAAAAAAAAAAATATCGAAACAATTTTTTTTCCAAAATCAATTATTTGTGTTAAAACGAGCAGAAAGTTCTGTGAATCTTTCAAATCGAACCCTTAATTCTCTCAAAAACTGCAATTTTTTGCACATTTAACTCTGTATCTTCGAAACGACTGGGCCTGCCTTTGCCAAAAACTAATAACCACTTCTCCCAATCATTACTAATTGAATGCTTTTCAGTTGTTTCAAATCCGATGCTCCGTTCTCTCAAAAACTCGATTTCTATTTTCTGTACTTTTTGCTCTTTATCTCCGTAACTGCTGAATCTGTCTTTGCCAAAAACTAATCAGCACATCTCGCTATCAACAGGAATCGAATGTTTTTTGAACCATTCAAATCGGTTGATCCGTGCGCCCGAAAACGTGAACGAAAAAATGCGGACCACACAAAACACACACCACACACATCAATTTTTTCTGAGGTGTGCCAAAATGTTCAGAAACCTTCAAAACGTCGAGAAATGCAAAAAATTTTAATTTCGATTTTTGGATGATTACAATAACTTACCCTACGGGAAGTTAATACTACGTAGTGCCTTGAGTTTTATCGTATTACACTTTAGGGAAAGAGACCAGTTATTGGTTTATAAGACTTAAGAATGACAGACGATGTAATGAACTAACACCATATTGCATTATTCACTAAATTAACTAAATATTTAACTTCCCGACGGAGAAGTTTGTTTTCATGAAAAAAACCGATTCGCTAATTTATGTTTTCTCAAAATTGCTTTTGTGATGTGATGAGTCAAACATTGTCAATTCACCAAAATTTAAAATAGTGACCTACAATTTTAGGACATACCGGAACCTGTGTCCTGTGTCTGTGCAATATAATTAATATAATCACAGTTAATTTAAGTGTGTTTAAGATAATTCTATTCGAAATCGCAATGTTTAGATTTAATTGAAAGCGATAACTTTATTTACAAAAAACAGTTGAAAATTGTATCTATCTAAATTTCAATTTCGATTGATTAAGTTTATTCTTACACATTTCGGGAAGTTCATGCATCTTGCCATAAGGCTAAATGCTACATTCACCTAGTTTATATATTTTTATATTTCTTTCTCTATTTTCAGGAAGGTTTTTGTCACACAGGAACCAAAGCTAGCAAGACCACATTTTTATCCAATGGACGTGTATTGACCACTGGTTTCTCTCGCCATTCCGACAGACAATGGTCCGTTTGGGATCAGCACGACCTTAGTGCACCATTGGCAACTGAGGTCATAGACAGTTCTTCAGGAATGTTTTTCCTTATTACGATTATGACACGAATATGGTGAGTTGACGATTAATTACTAAATCATCATAATATATTTTTATGGTTTGTCGCAATCGTTGCGAGATACGATAAATAGTTTTATGGATGAGTTTGGAATGTTTCTATTTGTTATATAATTACTAGTTGCACAGTAACTTATGGATGATACATACTTTTCATTTGTTAATTAAAATTTGTATAACATCGATCAAATTTTTTAATCAACTTTACGGATTGGTCTAAGAAGAGCATTAGATTTTTGCATAGATGAAACCATCATCAAAACCAATGCCTAGATGAAACCATCAATCATAACCAGTATGTTTTCTGGTTTTAAATACATTAAAATAATTATATAATTTTTTTTCTAAATGTTTCAGATATATCTTGCTGGTAAAGGAGATGGAAACATTCGCTACTACGAGGTTGTCGATAATGCACCACATATGCATTACTTAAGTCAATTCCTTTCTGGAAACCCACAGGTATTTCAAAACTAGTAAATCTTAAACTTATTAACTTCCCGAAGGAGAAGTTTATTTTTATCAAAAAATCCGATTCGTTAATTTAGTTTCCTCGACGTTTCAAGCCATTCTGAATCGAATGAGACCAACATTTGGAAAAAGTATGTGTGTGTGTATGTGTGTGCGTGTATGTGAACAGATTTTTGCCGTAAATCGGCGTTTTCTCAAAAACGGCTGAACCGATTTCAAAAATTAAAAGGCATTCGGTGTATCTTGATGAGGACTAGCGTTTATCAATTTTTCTCGACGATCAGCCAAGCCGTTTCTTCGAATCGATTTTGAAAATTCAAAAAAGCATATTGGTTGGTTTACCTGATTAAGTTTTGGTTAAGATCGGCCCGGCCGTTTTCTTGTAATGAGGTGTTAAAAAATTATTTTCGACGATTTCTATGATTGTTCATTGATGGTGGATACCATAGTCCTATAATTCTAAAAGTGGTCCACATGAACCCCAGGAATTCAACAACATTTAAGAGGTCTCGTCATCAAAAAAAAAAAAAAATCCCGGTATGATTCCCGCTTTGGGTGGGGAGGTCCCGGGTTCAAATCCTGGACGAGCGCGGGCACATATTATTTACTACAATATTGTATTGTATTTGGATCGTTTGTTTAGGGGTATGATTTCTGCTTAAGGTGCGGATGTCCCGGGTTCAAATCCCGGACGAGCCCGGACATTTCTTTGAATTCGAGTACATATATACTACAATGATGTACATTGGATGTAACATGGGTTACAGATTAGTGTAGATATAAGTTCCATGTTAGAATAAGCAATGTTTTAGGATAAGTGATTATTAAATGTAAATATAGGTTAGTTAATTAAGTAACGAACAAACGTCTTTTCATTAGTAATATTTAAAGTTTAACCGAAAGGTTGGTGGATTGAACCTACGCGGGCACGTACAACTCGTGGGTACAACTCGTGGCTCGTTGGTCTAGGGGTATGATTCCCGCTTTGGGTGCGGGAGGTCCCGGGTTCAAATCCCGGACGAGCCCTGACATTTCTATAAAATCGAGTGCCTATTATTTACTAAAATGTTGTACATTGGATCCAACACAAACACGCAATGGGCAAATCATGTGTAAAATGTGTTTATTGAGATGTGTTACTATTATCAAGAAGCGATAAGAGCCTCCGTGGCGCAATTGGCTAGCGCGTAAGTTTTAAAATGTTGTACATTGGATGCAACACAAACACGCAATGGGCAAATCATGTGTAAAATGTGTTTATTGAGATGTGTTACTATTATCAAGATGCGATAAGAGCCCCCGTGGCGAATTGGCTAGCGCGTTCGGCTGTAACCGAAAGGTTGTTGGTTCGAGCCCACCCGGGGGCGTAAAGTAGTTATTATTTATACTCTGGAATATTCAATGCATATTGTTTATACCCAATAGTATTTGATGATTATATTATTCATCATATATGTAGTTTACACGAGCCCGGACATTTCTTTAAATTCGAGCACATATTATTTACTACAGTATTGTATATTGGATCGAGAACATATTATTTACAACAATGTTGTACATTGGTTCCAACACAAACATGCACTGGATAAAACCCGTGGCTTGTTGGACTAGGGTTATGATTTCGGCTTAGATATTAAACGTAAGTTGCAAATCATGTGTAAAATGTGTTTATTGAGTAGAACACGTGGCATGTTGTACATTGGATGCAGTGGGTACAACCCGTGGCTCGTTGGTCTAGGGGTATGATTCCCGCTTTGGGTGCACACAATGAAAATAGGAGTCCACGGTAGTGGATATTTATACCACTGCACAAAAATGTTTGGGAACCTAGGCTCAGAGTCACATTTTTTATAGAGATTTTTTAGATATTTTTTACAACCTTAAGGCCACCTTCAACTAGTTTAAACATAGTTCTAGAAATAAGTCGGATCTAAATGGAATTTAATATCAAGATATTTTGTGAATTTCAATGTATGTACCTCTATACATAGTGCAGTTCAGATAAACTTTATTGCTGCGTTATTTAAACAACATGCCAAACTAATGGAGACGTCATAACATTAGTATCAGGTTGACATCTAAGTGAGAGTGGATTTTTGTTAAAAATTAAAGTCAATTTTATGGAACGAAATAACTTGTTTTTGGTTATTTATTGTCCATCTTGATCGATGACGTTTTGCTATCTTTCATCAGCATTATAATCTCATATTTATTGAACTTCTGTTTTTATAATATAGAACAATTTGATATGCTTATAATTATTAAAAGTTTTACCATTCAAGGGGTTTTGTAAACATTGAAATACCAAGTAATTACAAGATGGTGCTTGGTCAGGACTATATGGTGGATGTGGGAAAACATCCCAACCAATTTTCAATAATTTTTGCCATGTGGCCAAAGATGGCATACACATCTTGCATTGTTCTGATGAATTGTGACACTTTTTCGATTGTTCAGTTTTAGACGCTTTTTTCAAGAGCATTGTTCAATTTTGTTAGTTGTTCAATGAAGACGTTCGAATTGATTGTTCGGTTGGGTTGTAAAAGTTTACAATAGACAATACCTTTGTAATTCCACCAAACTGATAGCAAAATCTATATATAACAGTAAATATAATATAAATGAAATATTAATTTACTATTTACCATATTGTTTCTATTCCAGCGAGGTCTAGGATTTATGCCAAAACGCGGCCTGGACACGTCCCAATGTGAAGTATTCCGATTCTACAAGCTGCACGCGACTCGAGGCATCTGCGAACCGATTTCAATGATAGTTCCCAGGAAATCTGCACATTTCCAAGCTGATCTATATCCTGATACTGCCAGTGATAAACCTGCATTGACTGCAGAAGAATGGGCTTCGGGAAGAAATGCACAGCCTTTGCTCGTTTCCATGAAGACGGGTAATTGATAATTGAAAATATAATTGAATTCGTAGATAATAAGACAGGCTACAAAGAAATGGTGAATAAATTCAGAATAGGCGAAACAATTTAAACAATTGTTAAAGTCAAAATGTATGTAATCAACCCTCTTATAACGCGGTACTTTTGCAGCGCGATTTCCGTTCAACAGCTCATAAGTTTCATTCGCGCAACCTATGAATGACTCTAATAACTAGATATTGTTGTATGAGGATTTACCATAGGTTTTTCTATCGACTATTTTATGTTATGCCATGCTGATTTAGTATTAAGTTATAATTAAATACAATATTCATTTCAGGCGAGAACATTGATATAATAACAACGACTGGTACGAATAGAGCGCCTAAAAAACTTCTGGTCCAACAAAATGGTCATAATGGTGTTTCAGAAAATAACAAAAAGAAGTTTGCATTTTTGTCCTGCGAAACTGTACCAGATTATAGGCCCATGGACACCAATGATACCACGGTAAAAATAGTATAATATACTTTTTTTAATCTTAGTTAGGATGATTAGCTGGTAACTAGGTAAATGAAATTTTCATTATATATTATTTGAATTTAATTCGATTGTTTTTAAGTTAACATGTTGGTTTTGAGTTATGAAGTTGAATATTGTTTTATTTTTACAGCTGACCGAGAAAAACCAAAAAACGAGTTCTAACCAGAGCACAAAGTTCCACCAATTGCAACAAATGTTTGGTAATGGAACAAACAATAATGTGGTTAATTCTATTATTTCAAACGAATTAAATAGAGAATCGCCTAATAACTCACCTGCAAGAATTATTACGAATTCTGATATATTCCATTCAGAAAACGAGGTCAGTAAAATATTATGTTTCATGATAAATAATTGGTTGATGTGAGGTTTCAGTAATTGTCTAATGGCACTGGATGAGATACTTTTTGTATTTATATTTATAACTTGATTCTAAATTTATAATATTTGCGCATAGTTTTGTTTTGTAAGTTGATAGTGTGCTAAAAAGTTTAATTGATTCTACGTAGTAGATTTCAGCAATAGGCAGCATTTTTGTCATATTTTACTTTTTTACACTGGTAAAGGTAAAAATACTATTATCCAAAATCGATATGTTTGGATAGGCTGGTAATAGCAATTACAAATTTGGCAATTTTAGTGTCAAAGATGCACCACGATTTTCATTCATGTATTACTTTTTACAAAATGAGGATTAATAAACGTGAGATTTTTGTAAAAAGTGTGAGAACTAGTTCAAAACTTCGGGAAAATGAAATTTTTCACTGGAATAAATATACAAAACCTAGTACATTAAAATAGGGTAAGATTGCTTAAGTCGTGCTTAATAAGAATAAAAGAAAATCTTTAGCATTGAAATTTTTATTTATTGAAATTTTCTTTAGTTGGCTTATGATTAAAATGATATTTTCACGACTTTACGATATGTGCTTTCACTCAGTAACTATATTGTTAAGTCTGTGAGTGCTAAGTATGGAGATGAAACTGTTTTTGAAATAGCAGCCATTACATCCACTTGGTGTTTTGTAATTTGATCAAAATCTTTGGAAAATTGAATTCATTCATTACTTCTTCGCATTTATAAAAAAAATCAATAGTTCTCTATTATAACGGTACGAATAAGGAATTTTGTACAGGCACGACCTAAATTGCAAAGACTTTGGATAATGTGAGATAAGTGATATGAATAAACATTAATAAACAAAAAAATTCTGGATCATATTCTTATCATAATAGGCTTTATTTACTATGAGTTAGAAATGTTAGTAGAAGCTTAATGAAATTATTGCTGCTTAGCAAGGAAAAAATGGTATGGTGATGGACTCATTTTCTTCCAATCTTGGAAATCTTGTTATACGACTATATTTAATTATTTCGACTTGTTTTCTTGATAAAAACACATTCCTTATCTATTTTAGCTCCGCAAAGCTTACAACAAGCAATCGGAAGAACTTCGCCAAACCAAAAAACAATTGGCATTCTACGAGCGCAAGGTACGAGAGTTGGAGTCGATCATCAGGAACTTCAAAGAAAACTAATTATTATTATTGTTAAGTTAACATTTTCATAGTGATAACAAAGGGCTCGGAATGGAGAAGTTTTCTGGAAACAGAATTTTTTAATGTGGCAATGAAGGTCGTCGTTTATGTAGCTGGATGTTTGACTATGCTACTTACAAGGCAGTGTTTTTTGTCTTAAAAAATATTCAAGATGCATTGCTTAGGCGATATTTATGATAACAGTGTGAAAAATTCGCATGTTTGCGTAAGTATTTTCTTTACTTATAATTAGTAGCCGGATCTACTAAAATTACTTAGAAAAGCAGTAGAAACTCGATGAAGATCTATAAGAAGTTAATATGTTTGTGCACACTCTGTTGTATAGTACGAGTATGTACTTTTGTGAACTAATTAAAAAAATTAAAAACATATTTAATTAATTACCAAACTTCAAATCGTTTCATATGTTTTATGTGTGAAACGTCTGATGGCACAACTATATAGTTGTTTTTATAACTGATTCATACGAAGATAGGACCGCAACATGGCGTTCCCATAACATTTATATTTTATCAGAGAATTGGACCCTAAATTTAAAATCGCCCTTATTTGAATTAAATTTAAAGCATTGGCCTTGAATCATAGACCTTACACTACATGGACTGCTAGTCGAGTAAAAATAAGTGTATAATGTTAGAAGGGGACTGTAACGTCACTTGCTGAACGAGCGTTGCCGACAATAGTGGAGCACTCCCGATTGATTAAACGTAATATACATAGACCTTATGATATATAAACCTATTTTAACAGGTGTTACTGTTTACTAAAGAACGGCATTACTAAAATGGCCCGTGTCTGTCCACAAATAGTGGCCCACTTCTATCTACAATGCATCCCACATAAACACAATGTAAATAATCGGCAAAAGTCACTTTGCATTTCAAAGATTATATGTCTATATAAAATATTGCATATTTACTTGAATTTTTCTCGTTAAAACTCGATGACAAATCACGTAAGAGCGTACGAGGTTAAAAACTTTCTGGGCAAAATTCTTAGCGCGTTTCTCTGTACAGTGCGAGAGTAGGTTGATAACCTCCAAATGCTTTTTAAAATTTAGCAAGTATCAAAATATGATAAATATGTGCGCGGCTTAACAAACATGTTACTAGCCTTAGAGTTACTGTGGTGGCCCACTCCAACCTGTGGCCGGCATTATTATTGATATCAAAATTCTTACAATATTATCAGTTCACACAGTTGCCATAATATTATTAAAATAAATCTATCACAGATAATATTTGATTTACATTAACTAATGTGATAATTGTTTTGAATATAAATAATATCTGTTTTACACAATCATCAGTCCACACAATTGCCATAATATTATTAAAATAAAACATATGACCTCTGACATTTAATCAATCTGGAGTGTTCCACGATTGTCGACAACGCTCGTTCACTAAGTGACGTCACAGTCCCCTTCTATCTTTTGACACTTTATAAAATGGAAAACATCTAAGGACTAGCAGTCCATGTAGTGTAAGGCCTTGGATACATAAAATGCTACTTTAACCCTTTCAACTCGGATGCCGCCGCTCCGGCGGCAAAATTCATATAAATCCCGGATTTTACGAGTGGAAAGTGTTAAACCAAAAAAGTTACAATTTTGCACGTATTCACTATTTGCATTTGAAGCTTATTTGAGAAAAATTCATAACATTTAGGATCAATTACGAGGGTAATTATTTGGTAAATAATATGGCTATATTACCCTCATTTCTTTATATAATTTTGTAGGAAAAACTCTCAAAATACCATGTGTTTGCTGTGCAGTCAGGCGTTTTAGATGTAAAACGACAAACGTCAAAAATGTTATCATAACTGCATCTTTCGGATGTGACATGATAACACAGAAAGTACATAGCATTTTACTACCAATTTATATGAAGAAAGAAGTGTAACATAGGGTTGTCATGACAACGCTATGTTACGGTCTATTTTATCGGAAAATTAGCCTATATATAAACAAATATATAACTCCTCACGTTATAAAATCTTGCTAAACATATATCGTACATCCTTTTAATGTAAAAAAATGTTTATTTTCTTACTAGAAAACTTCTCTACGAGCCTGTTTAAAATATTACCAAGTTTACCGATATTTATAACATTCCCATTTTAAATTGTTGGCATTTTAAAAATCGCTGTAGTTTATAAAACGTCCCTGCTCATCTTCATAGTTAACACATGTGATAAAAAAATTTTAAAAATTGTGTAGACATTCTTTTTTAGCATATCATACATAAAACGAAACACATCTATCGTCCATCCATATCATAGAACAAAATTGAATTTAGACAATATTTTTATTTAAAAAATTATCAGATTTAAAAACTTAAATTTTAACTTAATATTGATAGCACTTTTTTCATAGAGCACAACATTAAAAATAGTAAAAAAATTGTAAGCTAAATGTTGAGCAACTGCGCTAATAAGCTATTTGCTTAGTTAATTGTTATAGGATAAAATTACAATTTATAGTTTATTAATATTTAATAAGTTTGAAAACGCGACAAAATTTTGCAGATAGATAATTGATGTATCTAGGAAATGCAAGTTTTTAATTCATATTAATAGCAGGGCTTTAATCATTTTATTTTTTTTTAACAGTATTAAGTTAAATCTTATATATACTTTTTATTCTTCGCTAAATGTTATTCTCTATTTTTAGGTAATATTTTCTTCAATTTTTTTATATAAAATTAAAAATATTTTAGTATAATTGTATAGTTAGTTTTAGTCTTAAAATCTAATTTATTGAAACCATTCATGTGTTATATGTATTTTATTGTTGGTACAATTTTAAGTTTTTACTTATTAATTTTATTCTAAGTATTAAATTTACGCATTACATTTATATATTATGTGTTATTCTTAATTATATTTGATACAAATATATTTTCATCTTTATTTGTTGATTGCTAATTATTTTATATTTTTAGGTTCTATTATTATAATATGTACAAAGTTTTTTTTTTTCGATTAAACTTTGTAATAATTTTTCAGTTTTGAATATGAACTTCAAAATATCGGTAATTGTTCTTTGGAATTCTTAGTTTTTTGGTTTTTTTATTCTTGAGTAAAGTTTACACTTCGATAAATCTCTCATCAAGAAATTTTATTTATTTTTCTTATCACATTTCTATGTTTTTTATAATATGATTTTTATATATGATTTTATATAGTAAGTACTTGTATGTTGTGGATAGTTGGTGTATGAAGATTGTAACAAAATTGTTTTTTTTTTGTCAAAAACAAAGATGCTTGATGTTTTGAATCTCCAAAGTCGTGATATAAAATCAACCCTCCTATAACGCGGTTAGTGCGTACCGTGTAATATGGAAACCGTGCTAAGAGAAATCCGGATTTATCATGCTAATTCGTAGTGCGTTGTATACAAGCCGCTTATCGCGTTGTATGGGAACCGCGTTCTAAGAAAATCAGAATTAGTACACCACACATCATTTGTACCGCGTTTTAAGGGGATCAATAAATACAAAAGACGTAAGTTGTTTTCATTGAATTGAAGAGTTCTTATTATATGATAAAAAATATAAATATTTTCATTGATTTAAAGATTTTGTATGAAGACATGATAACAATTTAATTTTTTATGTAAGGATATGTTTAGCTCTTTTTTTAGATAGACTAACGTTCTTTGAAAGAGCTTTGACACTACTAAAGCTGATGTCATACATATTTTTATATGCATATGGGCCATTTATCGTATAAAATATAAATGTTACGAAACTCCTATATTACGGGTCTATATTCCTATGAATTGGTAGTAAAAAAGCTATACGTCACCTGCACATTCAGGCATTTTACACATAAAACCTAACTTCATGCATGTGTTATCAAACAGACATCAGTTGATGCTCTTTTCATGCGTTTTGTAGGTTAGGTTTTATGTGTAAAACGCCTGACCGCACAGCAAACACATAGCTTTTTGAAAGTTTTTTATTACCAGCTCATACGAATATAGACCCGTCACATAGCATTACGGTAACATTTCTATTTTATCCGAAAATTGGCCCCATAGTGTCAAAAATATTGTAGTCGATAATAAAACTTTTATTACAATTATCGTCAAAAATAAGAGAGTCAATAATAAAATTATTCAAATGGAATAACTTATTGACTGTTAACGAATGGCCGCGTTATAGGAGGGTATGTATTACGAAGACCACGCTATAGGAGGGTTGACTTATACAGTTTTGAGAATTAAAAGGCCAAAACCACGATATTGAACATATTCTAAATATTATAAATGTTTTTAATAACAGTGGCAGAGTGATTCTAACGCCGCCACTGTCTTTTAACAATTAGTGTAATGTTGTTAAATTCATCTATAGATTATTTTTTGTGCATTGCATTATATTTATAGAATTATAGATTAAATTCTATTTTGAGAACAATTTTTGAAAATGTCGCGAAGCCAAAAAGCCTTATATATGTGTTGTAGCTTTTTATATATTTGCAGCTTTTTTACTAGTTGTAAAATTTTCAATATTAAAACGTCAGTATTATAGCAAAAATGAATTTTATTTAGATCACCTTTATTAAAAAAAAGTTGTGTTCTCAGGGGCGAAACTATGCATGTATGAATAGTCATTAGATTGTTGATTTAAACAAGGAAAACTAGATTAAATGTTGCGATAAAATGAGTAATGACAATTCAAGGTAGTAATTATCACATTAACCACAATTTTTACTTTACAGTTTTTATGTATTTTTATATAAATTATATGTATATTTAATTTTTATATAAATTATATGTATATTTAATTTCTATTTAAATTATATATTACGATTTTCAAACTTCTGTTAAAGCCCCCTTTTTTGCGTCAAAATATTAATTTTATTTAAAAAAAATCTTCATTATTTCATTTCATATTTTGGGGAAATGTATATAAAGGAATCTTACTTCAGAAGTTCAAAAATCATAATTAATAATAGATACCCAGAAAACAACCCCAGTAGAAATGAATCGTGGCCAGAGAGGTAAAAAATCATGGCGCAAATCTTGTTTTTAGATGGACCGGACAATATTTGTTTCCAAAATTATGGAAAATTTGGAAAATTTATGGGAGAACTATTTTATATGGTTATATTAGAAAAAAATATGTTTTTTTTCACGTCTAAATTTATATTTACACGAATTATACATAATTTTTAGATGAGGGCGTGATGGATAGATTTGCTGTGCGACCAAGATTCGTTTCAACTTGGGAAATACATGGTATTTATAAGGGTCACGAAAAAAATTAACTTTATATAATTAATAAACTATTAATTACCACCAAAAACATGATTAAAGCCTTTAAAAAGTCATATGCTCGATCGCAATTAATAGTTTGATATAATTTTTTTATAAATTCGATATAAATTTCAAATGTGGGCGTAATGGAAGAATTTGGTGGGCGACGAAGATGTGTTTCTTCAGTATTATCGAACTTGGGAAATATATGGTATTTATGTGGGTCACGAAAAAAAAATCAACTTTAAATAATTAATTAGCACCAAAAACATGATAGCAAAATCAAGATGGATAAATTTTTTTTTTTTCTGAAATAACAATTTGAAATTGGAATGGAACATAGTAGCGGACTTCCAGAATCTCGATGAGGTTACAACCTCATTAGTTCCTGCCACCAAACTATATTTAGCATGCAGCAGTGATATCAATGCTCGCCTTGTATGAAAAAGGAAACTTTGACGCCAAACACTCTTCAACCGAGCACTTTCTGAAGGGGTAAGTTTATTATTTATTCATATTCATACATATATTATATATACATATGCGTATATATGTACATTTGTGCAGGCTGCCCCAGAAATCAACATCAAACCGAAAAGGGATGACAGGATTGATTGTAGTCATCATCAGAAAAAATCTATTCTATGAAGTTTGAAAATTATGACATTTAAGAAAAATCTCGTTTTTGCAGTTGAAAATGAAATTAGATATGGATAAGGGGTATGTTTGCCATGCGTAAAATATATAATGAGGTTATTAAAATTTGTTAGCAAAAATCGTGTTTTTATGTTTTATGTCGGTTTTTATATTTTATTCGTTTTTTTAACTTCCCGTAGGGTAAGTTATTGTAATGGGCCGAAAATCGGAATTGAAAATTTTTACATTTCTCGACGTTTTGAAGGTTTCTGAACGTTTTGGCATACCTCAGAAAAAATGGATGTGTGTGTGTGTGTGTGTGTGTGTGTATGTATGTATGGATACAAATTTTCGTCCACGTTTTCGGGCGTACGGATCAACCGATTTGAATGGTTCAAAAAACATTCGATTCCTATTGATAGGGAAAAGAGCTGATTAGTTTTTGGCAAAGGCAGGTCCAGCCGATCGGAGCAAAGAGTGCAGAAAATAGAAATCGAATTTTTGAGAGAACGGAGTATCCGATTGGAATGATCTAAAAAACATTCAATTAGTAATGATTGGGAGAAGTGTTTATTAGTTTTTGGCAAAGGTAGGCCCAGCCATTTTGAAGATACGGAGCTAAATATGTAAAAAATGGCAATTTTTGAGAGAACTAAGCGTCCGATTTAAATGATTCAAAGAACTTTCTGCTTGTCTTAACAAAATAATTGATTTTGGAAAAAAAAATTTGTTCCAATTTTTTTTTTTTTTTTTTTTTTTTTTTTTTGTAGTTTTTTGTATATCGAAATATTTCAGATTTTATTTTTAATTCTGACTATAGTTCTAATATACTTTACAAATAATTTCAACTCTGCAATTCAGTTTATATAATTCTTATAAATATTAGACAATGTTACAATATTTATAATAATCTATTTGAAAACATTCAATATTCCTCGAACATTTTGTTACGGTACGGGAAGTTTCAGCAATTTGCCTTAAGGCACGATGCCATAATTGCCTCAAGACAGAATTCCACTTACAGCTAGTTTAGTATGAAACTAACTAGTGGTGCATGGCATCGTGTCTTAAGGCACATTGCTGGAACTGCCCGTAACAAAAATTATTTTTTTTAAACAAGATTAGTTTTTTTTCAACTATGAAAAAATTAGATTTTTGAGAAATTTGAAAAAAGATTTTTTTGAGAAAAAGTTTTTTAAACAATTTGTTTTCTTTATTATGAAGTATTTTGGATATTTTGAACTTTTTTTTAGAGCAATCGTACTGTTTTAGTTGCATAGAGACCAAATATCGAAGCGCGTAAGTGCCGCGTCGACGTCTAAAGGACAAACAATGTTACGGAACCCATAGAAATATAAATAAAATTTATACGTATTATAAAAATCTCCACAAAATATCTGGTAATTTGATGTGTCTATGTCTATTGATCATTTTTGACCGCCAAATG